CAGGCTCGGTGCCGTGCGACTTTCTTTTATTTCCAAACTTGAAAAAGTCACTCACCAGACAGAAATTTGAGTCGAATGAGGAGGTCATCGCCGCAACGGAGGCCTACTTTGCAGACATCGAGAAAACGTATTTTTCAGATGGGTTAAAGAAGTTGGAGCAATTTGGAGCAAAGTGTATCGACCTAAAAGGAGACTATCAGCCAGGCTCCGTTTTTCACATTCACAAAAGTTTTCCGATTTACTTATGAATACACATAAATTGGGGCTCCCGTTTTCACATTCCGCAAGATTTTTTCGTTTTCAAAACGAAAACATTTTCGTTGACGAAATGAAAAGTAAACGGCTTTTTATGCAACGAAACGAGCCTTAATTGCAAAAGGAAAAAAATAGATGACTTATTGATGCATTATCATAAACTTGACACCTATATCAGGGTAATTTAAATTTAGCCTTTTTTCTAAATTATTTTATTATTGGCCAGGGTAACAACAATTTTCGTTTTGGTGCAAACAGCAACAATATGTGAAAACTGGTGAACCTTAAAACGAAAACGAAACGTTTTGGCTGAAAACAAAATCCGCAAAAGTAAATGAAAAACGGAGCCTGCCTGTGTGTTGAGAAATAAATCGGCACTTTTCCAAAATCTTTTTTAATTTTGTAGGCTAAGAACTTAGACCACCCTCGTACTCTTCATCACTAAATGCAGCTTCTGCCCTTAAAGAGAAACTGACATTGTTGTTCAATCCGGTGACCTACTTGATTGCATTTCATATAGCCGCAGCGTTCTCTTTTGAGCCAAAATCATGGACTAAAATCAGCTGGTGTGTCACAAATAGAACGACCTAAATTAAACTATTTCTTTGACCCCATATTTCTTTAATGTTTTGACTTCTTCGACAAAGTCATATATGTAAATAGATATGTATTTACATTAAGAGTATTTTTTTTTTACGGAAATATGTGCCTTTTAGAAAACGCTTTCACTACCATTTAAACAAATTTCCCAGAATTTTCCATAATCCAGTATGCGAACTTTCAAGTAGTAGTTTTAGTTTAGTTCTGGGTCAAATTGTCGAAGAAATAGCTGTTAATAACAATTCCAATATTTATTTTTTACCAAAGTCAAGGATGCTATGTAGAGAAAAGGGTATTCTGTACCGCCAATCGTTACAAATTAAAACATTTTTAGCACATCTTCGCTGCAAGTTTTGGTCGAATTTTGATAATGGTATCAATTGGTTATTTTCTCCAATGGATCACTTTAAACTGCATTAGCTTTAAAGAGAAAATCAAAATCAATATCACTATTATTTGCATTAATTCCAGTAGCACTTGAATTCAGTTTGCTTCGTCATTTCCTTGCCCATTTATGTACACGAGGTAATCCGTTCTTGAACGAAGTTCTTCTTAATAGTTATTTTTGCTTATCGTTCATCAAGAAAGTTTAAGGGCAAGCAAAAACTTTTTTAAAATGTCGCTAACACAAAAATGTATTGATTTATTGAATCAAAAAGACAAAGTCCAAGTCCGAGCTGATTATGTACAGAGGTTCACAGAGCAATCTGACCGGAAATTTTAAGTTAAAATACCCAGCTTCTTACAGGTAAGTGGAAGTTCTAAAATCAGTTATTCTGCAGCCACAACACCGCAGCAAAAAATAACTTCATTTGTACAGAAGCCACCGACGGAGCTTAAAAGTAATCAATTAGACAAACAGCTAGTGCGAATGATTTCCAAAGGCCATCATGCATCCGGATCATGCAGGAGCCGGATTTTAAGAAGCTGTTAGAGGACGTTTCAAATTACCCTGGATATAAGTCCTGTACATCGCTGTCTAATGTGCTACTTCCAAATATGTACAGTGACTTAATTGCAAATGTGAAAGGGAAGATTAGTTCGGCATCTGCAGTTTATTTGACAACTGATGGATGGACATTGCTGACCAAAGAGAGTGTGCTGAAATAGCTTTAACCGCACATTTTATAGATAAGGACAATATGGAATTATCTTCTCATATGGTATCTTGTGAAGCGTTCGGTGAGAGGCACTCGGTCTTTGATATTTTCCACAAAAAGTTACAGCTGATTGGGAAGTTGAAAATAAAATTACTGCAATTACGTCAGACAATGCTACTAATAACGTATCAGCGATAAAATTAGGAAATTGGCGCCATTTTGCATGCCCATGCCCACATTTTAACCTCATTATACAAAAATCACTAGACCCAATTGACAGTGTAAGGGTTGCGATGAACGATGAAAAAGAAGAACGACTAAGAAATTACGTCATCTGTTTCTTAAACTTTTAACACTCAAGTTTGGCGCCTATGGTGTTTTGACACCATACCATACCACAATATCAATATTCTGTCAGTTTGGAAGCACCACACAATTCTCACTTTTTAGCATCAGTATTTCATCAATGCACACAAAACTGCCGAAAAGCATTGCTAATACTTAGCCTTGTGACATTAGACTTTGCCACCTTGAGAGGCAACACGCAAAAATAGTGCCTGTAGCCGTCTCTAGACTCGCCCTCTAGCTGCTAGTGTAATAACTGAAGGGCCTATCTGTGACAAAATGATGTTTTATAACACACAGCCAGCCAGACAGCAAAATTGGATCTGAAAACAATCCGCCGCAGCGCTGCTACCAGCTCAACTGGAAACCCAAGCTGACGCATATATCTCTCTCGCTCTCACTGCAGGCATTTCCCATAAGGCTGTCTCAGTTTTTGGTAAGTTAGCAAAGGCTATTGCTACATCATATGCTAAACGGAGCGCTCGGTCACTTTCCCGCGGGATAATGTCATAACATCATTACACCTAATTCTGTTTTTACACGGTAGATTGGTTCGTACATTGATCGTATGCAAAAATAGGTGATTGGTTCCTTATCTTTAAAACCTATTCAAATTAGGGAACAAATTAGGAAACGTTGGAAAAACAAATTTGCAAGCCAAGTTACTGGTCACAGTATTTGTAGATAGCAGAGATTACATTTTTGCAATAGAAATGTGTTAGTATTTTGTAAGCTATCAAAGCAATAAGACATGTTTGATAAATACATTTTTTGTACGCAAATTTGTTTTTCCAAAGTTTCCTAATTTTGTCCCTAATTTTAATAGGTTTTAGAGATAAGGAAGCAATCACCTATTTTTGCATACGATCAATGTACTTTTTTACACGACTGGGCAACCACTTCACTGTACATATTTTTACGTGCATTTACAAAATGTTCTATATTTTGGCTGTTTTCACATTAAACCAAAAAAGAAGAGTCGGATATAAAAAGGATCTTAAATCCTCTGATCGGGCTGCAGCCAAAAGAATTTCCAATTAAAACATGCAAACCAAAGACCAAGATATTCCATGAGGGTCTTTGGAGTCGCGTAAATTGCACAACTGGCGATGCATAGGGATGTGCACCACGTCTACAAAACGATTGACGAAAACAATATTATGATTTTGAAAGTAAGAATTAAGTGAGTATTACCACATAGTACCATTACCCCAATTTATTACCTACCATTACCTATTAGTAATGTGTAAGTCCTAGCAAGATATCTTTCAACAAGTCTGGCAAAAAGATCAATAAACTTAATCCGATACGATTTAAATAATTGAATACTTTAATACTATGCTGTACTTAGACTTTATGACATGGTCTTTGAATCAGAAACCAATTTCAATTGAAGGCCTTATACAAAGCCGCATGAAGTGGCGAACTACTTCCTCCTCCCAAAAGCTGTCTCCAGCTAAACAAAAGCCAATTCCCCAGGAAAAAATAAATAAAAAATTAATTGAAGGCGCCGCTTGTTCTATCACTTAATTTGTAAACCTCTATGCAAAAAAGAGAAATACCTTAAATAATAAATCGAATAATGCGTATTCTTTACACTCTACTATTAGAGAAGAGCGAAACTTATCAGCTTATAACCGTCAGCCGTCTTGTGTATGCGCATTTATCTCGCTCTGTATTGTTTATTGGCTTTATCATTTTATTGCCACAGGGAAATCGTTATTCTGTCTTATGCCCCTTTTTCTCTTCGTACAGCTGTGCCTGGTTATGGTGGAAATCGCTTAAAGGTAAAGGTAAAAAGATGGAACTTTTGTTTCCATCAGGTGACAAAATACATGTGCATACATATGTATCTTCAAGTATTATTATAGTTTTGGCATGATTTCTATGGATTCCATTACTTTTAAGGCTACCGATTCAGATAGTAAGTACAGAGATATAATTACTCTACGGAAACATATCTTCCATTTAGTTGAAGAGAGATGCAACCGATTTAACAGTTGTAAATATCTGGATTGGAACACTGCAAATGGTATAATATCAGTAATTTAGGTGAGGAGATCCCTGAAGGTAAGTTCTTGTTCTGGTCTGTCTGTAAAAAGAAGATCCCTGTAAAGCCAGGCGGCACTGTTGCATACACACTGATTTTCGTGTACATTTCTCCTGAATCACCCCATCCTAAAATGTTCCTCCTCCCCCATATGCTCTTCCGTTTTGAGTGTGTGGTGATTGTGTTATAAATAAAACTCAATCGTCAAATATTTACCCACTTTGAGAGAATTTATGGGTGCCAATCGTTAAACAATATTGCGAATTAGTTTTATTGTTCTGTCCCGAAGCGTTGCGTCGGTCACCTCAGGCGGTGCAGGGTGGGCCCGGCCGGTCCCGTGTTTGCCTTATACTCGTACCTTATCAGCCGACACATGTAATTATTGAAAAAGCAACTAAATAAATCGATCCGATCGGCAGACGAACGGGTTTAGCTCTTGACTTTTGTCAGTTGATTAAATGTTTCCAATGCGGTTATTATCACCGCTAAAACGAGGTCGAAAATTCCCAAGAGAGTGATGGCAGAGAATGTCAGAGAGAGAGTGAGAGACTATGGCTAATTAGCTAAGCATACAACACACAAATGCGATCAGTAAATTTGTTTATGGCTAAAAAACGAATTTAATTAACTGAATCAATACGACACACAGCCACCGCAACGTCGTTGGTTGGTCGGTCGGCGGGGAGTTGAAAGTGGATTATCGCCGGGCCGATGATAAGCGACGATTAAAATCAAACAAAGATCGTAATCGAAGACGACACTGCTCCCGTTACCGTTCGTTCTTCCCGGAGCCCAGCTCAAAAGCACCGCTCTCTAAATCTCCCACACCGCACACTCTCTGTCTGATTCGTTTTGGTGTTTCGCTGTTTTCCGAGCCGCTTTCATTCGCCTTTTGACCGCGTTCGCATAATGGCGCAATTGACAACGACGACTACGGCATCGGGGGCCGCGCAGGCGCTGAACGGCGAGTACCTGGACCTGTCCCTAGCCTATGCGGACGAGGATGAGCCAGAGTGCGAGCCCAAGCCGGAGCAGAGACAACCGCTTCTGAATACGGCTGGAAGAAAGCCCTCGCTGAGCGAGCGGCGAAATGTAGATCTACCATATCTGCGGGTCGTCCACGAGAGGGACCGCGAACGCGAGCCGGAAACTGAAGCGACAACAGATTCGTCTCCCGACCAGTCCTCGACCTTTGCTCCCGGCCTGCGGCGCAACTCCATATCCATGCCGTCGGGCATTAATGCCCTGGACCTGGAGGCCCTGCGCCTGCGGCATCAGATGCAGGCCCAAGATGCCCTGCACGAGGAAACCGTGAGTTTTTTTTATTTTCATTTCAATATCGCAAATTGTTTTGATCTATTGGGATATGAACAATCATCGTTGGCGTAATTCGTATTAAAAATGAAATCGCTAGGCGCCTCCACTTTGCGCGTGAGTTACACAGAAAAATTCCCCCGAAAATAATACCCAAAACGTTAATTGACTTTTAATTATATAGTAGTAACTTGGCGAACAATCCACATGTGACAAAACTTGAAATTCAGTTAATGCAAACACGTTTCAGTGCCCTCAGCCATCACATGATTCCAGATGGTCCCATACATATGTACTTGTATTTTAGTGACCCCCCAAAATTTGTAGATCAACATGATTGTTGGGAAATTGCATTCCCTTTACACAGCTGATTGTACATATGCATGTGTGTATGTATGTACATGTAGTATATCCGCACAAATTGAGTGATCATACCCGATACTCGTGGAGTAAAAGGTTTAATACCCTACAATGGAAATTCATTGTGAACATCCAAAACATTTCTTTTTTTTGGCGGTAGGTTCATTAGAGGATTAGACTAGAACTGGGGCACAACGTTCAGGTATAAGACCGCTAAGGTGGTTAAGAAGCGTATTTGGCATGTGTGAAAATATCAAAATAACTTCAAAATGTTCAAAGAAAAATAGCATGGCTCCGTCTAAGCGGCTATGATCTGGCTATGGCTAGATAATATGTACATATGTACATATAATAAATATAAAAATTGCCATTCACTAAATTCGTCACACTAGCAAGTAATCGTGGACACAGAATACCACAATTTTTTCCTTTGGTATATTATTTTATTATTATATTATATTTTAGCCCGTTTTATATTAAAAGCAGAGATATAGCATTTAGAAAAAAACATTATTTCAAAGATACAGTCCACATTGTAGTACAGCAAGTAGCAGGTATTCCACAGTCTCCATTATAGCTCTATACTTGTTATTTGCATTCAGCGACGCGTTCAGTTTTTTCCGTGAGACATTAGGTTTATTTTCGATTTATTTGCACTACAACTGATTGTTAATGTCGGCGGCAGATGAGCAGATTGAAGCGATATATAAGTTACGCTAATTACGAAGGTGTGAATCAGGGCAGGGGGAAGGGACAGAAGGCAGATCGGGCAGGCCGGTGCCATCCGTCTAACTGGTTATCTGGTGTATGAGTGATTTACCTAAGCAATCATCAGCAATCCACACACTTGCGCCACCCCAGACATCAGCTGTGGGTTTATACGACCCCGCCCAGAGGTATGCAATGGTTTCCAGAGAGAGAGTTATAATTATCTATATTCGGTCAAAAATGCTCTTTACTCTCCCCATACAAATTATCTGGATCTTTCTCCATTCGATTTCCCAGAAGTTGAGTTAGGTTTTAACTTAATAAAGATAAGTATAAATGTAAACTTTGATGAATTTTATTGGGACAATTTTTGATCAAATCCACTGGACGTGAAATTGAGATTAAGAAATCTATCTTCGTAAAGATTGATAGCATTTTACATATATTTGTCTCAAATTCAGTCCCTCGATTGGTTTTCCGATAATGCAACATTGAGAACAGCTGAAAACCGGGTCGGAATCCATGTGAAACGGGTGTGATCTGGCTACGAAGCGGTTCAGAACTGGTGTCTGGTCTGCCAACCGGTTGCCGAACGATAATGCGAGTGCGCGAGAGCCCCTTCCAGGCGTAAAGTCTCCCGTTTGTGGCGAATCTCTGAGCCGCCGCCGCCACACCGCGGGACAGTTATTTATGGCCAGTAGTCACGATTAAAGGCTAAATCCGGCCGACACGGCGCTAGTCGATGGAAACAACGCCTGTACGTAGCCAATCAGAGAGTGCTGGCCGCAATTAATTTACGACTGCGGGTTAATTCTATCAAAATCAAATTCCCACACGGGCCCCGTATTCCCGAGAGAAACCATCCGATCCACTCAAGGTGTATTACATGCAAGGTGGGGCTTACAAAAGTGTCAGATTGTGGTTTAGTTGATATAATTTATCTTATAGCTGATGTTAATAATTCCACCTACGCTATTTGAGAAATATTGACGGCAAACGCATAACGATACATGTACATATGTAACATATCCAATTCAATCGATTTTTCTGTTGGTAAAATAAAAAAAAATGTTTTCTAACCTTGATAGCCTTAGTCAAAAAAAGAAGAAAGAAAAACAAATTGATTTTTTACGTGAATGACAAAATTTACCGATAGAAATACACTTTGTGCGCCAGCCAACCCGATCAACCTGCTCTCTTGCGCTCACAACTCTCTCAACGCCGTAGAGCGGTGGAATGGCGGAGAGCGCTGAGCCGGAGTGTGGGTGTCAATATTCACACTCAAACAAAGCAGTGACTGCTCTCCCAGAAACGCTGGCAGCACTGGCGAGCTATTAAAACGCATAAATTAAGGCGAACCCGGCGCCGCAAATACAATATTCAGGCAATAGCAATCCGGCAATTATCAAACGGACGGACAACTCCAGAGCATTAACAGCGCGATATCAGTGGAAGGTGTACGTCCAACGGCAGCAGTTCTAGTGATAGTGATAGTGATTGAAAGTGTAATTGAGATTGCAACGGTACTTGGTCATCTGTAGAGAGTGTAAAGTCTGTGGGAGTCATATATCCATCCTGTACTAAATGTTGCTTTGATGATCAATGCTGAAATGAGCTCACCAAACTGCAGTCGCTTCACGCTTTCTAGTGTGATGCCGGAGGATCGACCACCTGAAAAGGATACACATATCGATAAGGATACAAATACAGAAATGGAAATGGCTACGGCTACGGATGAGGCAGGTACTAAGTGTGGCTCGGACCCCATCATTGCGTCAAAGAGTCTGTAGGAATTACATTTTTTTTTTGTGTATGGAAAAGGTTATTGTTGCCAAAAAATCGTTCTGTCCGTAATGGGAAATTGTACTGTATTCTGTATACCAATCCTTAGCGAACGTCTGTTATCCAGTAAAGTGCTTTAGTGAGTAATATTCATCTTAATCGTCTACCGTATGTGACGACGATGACTTGGAAAAACGATCTGCATGAAGGGCTTTAAATTCTCCGTTTCACTAGATTTCTACTTGGAATCTGCGGCCTTCCCGCTTATTGCATATTGATACGAGTATCCGGTATCTGGAGACCTTGGCTGGGGGCTCCGTTCTGCGGTCAGTCGCGCAATCATGCTAATTGCACTCACCTCGCCAAACCTCTCGGAACTCGGAACAGTAGGTGCCAAAAGGTACCCTAGTCCCCCAGTCTCACAACCCGCTCTCGATTTCCCCCGTCCCCACTCAGTTCGCCCTTACAATTAATGACTGTGTGGACTATCAATTTTTTATAGTAATAAAGTATAATATAAAATAACCCATTAATGGGGTGCTTTCAGATAGCCGATGATGCGACTTCAAGCCTGGGAACGCCGGCCACTACGCCAGGCACCACCACGTTAAATACGCCGGATAAGGGCACAGGCGCTACCACCATTAATTTCGCTTCAACCCCCAACGATGATGACAGTGACGATGAGTTCGGGAATGTCAAGAAACGGGTTTATCGGTGAGTTGATAGTAAGGGAAGGGCTAGGACCCTTAAGGCTCTCATAGATATGCTTTCAAGAGAGGGAAGCCTAGAACTTAGAGAACTATCAGCCAGTGCATATTCTATTGTATTCCTAGATGATCACGAATGAGGAAATGCTTTCTTTGCACCCACCGTGCGGACTGGCAGTAGTTCAGATCCAGATCTTGTACGACTAAGTTTGATCTTAACCCAATTTATTCATATTCCACTTTGTGGCACGCTCAAAGCTCTTTGAGCACATTGTGTACCATTGTGATTCATCGGGCAATTAGATTAATTAATAATAAGTCGCTGTTTTTGTCTCTCTGAACCAGACAGTAATTCGAATAATTTCTCGAACGACTGGAACGTGCCTTTCCCAACATTCCGGCAAATGGGGATTACAGAGTGGAGTGTCACTTACAGTTGCGGGCCATTTCCCCGCTAATTGAAATGCAATTTGTATTCGATTCTAGATAGACCCCCACACCTCACCACCAATGGATGCAACGAGTGCATTTAGTGGCGCTGAAAATGTCTATCATTATTCCGCTTTTGATTGCTGGCTTATATTACAGTCATTTTCTACTGCCTTAACATTCTCTTAACAGAGCAGAAAGCACTGCTGTTGAAAGCTGTCGAAAAGAACTGTAAGCCGAGCTTTAGCTTCTCCATGCAGGCAAACAAGTTTCTTTCGGGTAGAAAAGCTTTACACGCACACGCAAACAAACGAGAGCGCAGCAATTCAGCAGATTAAGCGCATTACACGGCCAGATACAAGGTGGGACAAGGACAGCGACAGCGAATCTCCAATCTGACGACAGTCTCCGATGCGATGATAAGTTAATTTGGAGGAAGCTTAAGCCAGACAGACAGCAGAGCAACGGCATCTCTATATTTCCATAAATGTACATATGTAGAACGGACACAGCAGAGGTCAACACAACAGAAGTGGTTAAAGACAATTGAAAAAACTTGAAGCTATACATATGTGCGAAAAAAGTCTCTCTCTATATATAAGTACATGTATACATATGTATTTATGTATAAAGATTCACATTTAAAGAGGCAGTCGCTAAGATTACAATTTAAAATACGGAACACCTATTCCTCAGCAAAATCAAAAGATTAAACTATTGTTTAACAAGAAAGAAAAGCAAGCTTGTTAAGGCTTTAGCTATCAGATCTATCGTTTCTGAGGCATTCTTATGGCAGATCAATCTCCCTTTTTTTTCAACTTCTTCAATTCCATCACTATAGCCATCTAAGTCCTACGCTAAATTTGTTTTAAATGATATGATGATCCGATAACTTAAGGACATCTCGCTTTGGCCATTTCTCAAGCTTGATCTTGACAGGACACCTCCTGCAACCGTAGAAAAAACTTTATAGCACACTATAGTAAAGATATCCTGTAAGTAGCTACATCATTGGGCGGCACTGTTGCGACACATGTTGAGACAAGTGGCACAGGCACAGCTGTATAGTACTATAACTGTATCTGTATGTTAATGGCGCGCAATGATAGATATGAACGAAGCTCCCTCCGCTCAGTTGATGATCGTGATTAGCCGTGATAACAACGCGAGAATATCTATCTCCCTGTAGACAGATCTCAACCGATCTATATATCTGTGGTATATCTGAAAAGTAGAAGTGTCTGTTCGAGCCGCGTTTTAATAGCAGTGTTTATGAGCCCAGCCAGGGTCCCGTCCCGCTTATCGCCGACAGTATTTTAAATTGTAAATAAATCAAACAAATACATACAGCCGCACTTCAAGTAAATATAATTATATGTACATATACTCGTTCGGGGTATCAGCAGCCTAGAGCAATGTCCCAGTTTATGCGCCAGTTTCTGTTTGGGGTTTCCAGATTTGTTTGCTACAGAGTTTTGCATACCAGCAATACAGATCCACAGATCCCAACCGATGCATATAATTTGTGTTATACACATTGAGAGTGGTCCATTGAGAATGGGAGTGCGAGTGCTCCCCATTTTCAAGAATGTTTTTCCGCTGTCGTCCGGCTCAAGTTCGTCTCAAGATGTTAACAAGCGCGGAGCGCCGATACGGGTGATAAGCTCTTCATCGCTATCGAGTGGGTGTGCCCTCAAATAGAGGGCTTTGGTTATGGGACACGTTCGCATCGAATGCCTCCGATGTGTGCCATATCTGATCGGGGGGTTTGACATGGGGCCATCTGTGCCACGCATCAGCTGACATCGGATGTATATATGGGGGCTATATGGGGCTTTCCTTATCGGGATCGTAAATGATTTTGGGCATTATCTACTCCCTGTCATATATCACACAGACAGCGACGTCTCTCTGACTGACTGTTTTCCGTTTTCCTTCAAGCGATCGCTTTCGCAACCGGAGACGTGCCTCGATCGCCCCTCTACCGGCCCTGCGACTCAACAGCAAAGAGATGTTGGCCAGCGATTTCGATACCCACAGCCTAGCCAGCAACCAGGCCTCGATAACAAGCGTCAACTCTCTGGCCAGCTTGTTGCGCGAAAAGATGCAGGTGAGTAAGAGGGAGATCTCTTAAAATAATTTCGAAATTGAAGGGATCATTTTATCATCTCCTGTCCGTGTGTTTTTACTTAGGCCTTTCCCCAGCTAATACGCAAGAAGAAACGGGAGACTAAGGACTACAAGATCAAGATATTCGTCATCATTATGTTCTTCATCATTATATTTCTGGTAAGCCCTTGAGTACTATCTCAGACAAGCTCCCAATGAGCCAGCGACTTACACAATAAATTTCCCATAATGATGTTTGAAGTTGATATTTTTGTAATTGAAAATTTACTTCGTATGATTCTATATATTTAAAACATTTATTTATAATCACACCTCATTATTTGATTTGATTTCTCTGCTCCTAAATAAACCAAACAACAACGAATTGCGAATGCCCATGGATCGATAAAAGTAATTTTTATTGACACGTGATATTGACAAGGGGGAAGGAAATGAATTAAATGACTAATTAACACTGACAACGTTTCCTATTACTTATTTTCAATTAATTAAACAATAATATTATTTGAGTTTAGCTCATTGAGGAAAATCGTTCAGACAAGTCCACTATCATACAACTTTTGTTAGTCCTCTTATAAATTCGGCAGCTCCTATTTTTATACCCGATACTCAAAATGAGTATTGGGGTATATTAGATTTGTGGTCAAAGTGGATGTGTGTAACGTCCAGAAGGAATCGTTTCCGACCCCATAAAGTATATATATTCTTGATCAGCATCAATAGCCGAGTCGATTGAGCCATGTCTGTCTGTCCGTCTATCCGTCTGTCCGTCCCCTTCAGCGCCTAATGCTCAAAGACTATAAGAGCTAGAGCAACGATGTTTTGGATCCAGACTTCTGTGATATGTCACTGCTACAAAAATATTTCAAAACTTTGCCCCGCCCACTTCCGCCCCCACAAGGGCGAAAATCTGTGGCATCCACAATTTTAAAGATACGATAAAACCAAAAACGCAGAATCGTAGAGAATGACCATATCTTTTAGACTGCAGAATCTGAATTGGATCGTATTATTATTATAACCAGCATCAAGAAAACAATTTCATTTTTTCTCGCCCTGTCTCTCTCTAACACACACGTAGCATAGGCGGCTTTGCTTAGAGTAAAACATTAGCTACTAGATCTCAGAGACTATAAAAGCTAGAGCAACCAAATTTGGTATCCACACTCCTAATATATCGGACCGAGACGAGTTTGTTTCAAAATTTCGCCACACCCCCTTCCGAACCCGCAAAGGATGAAAATCTGGGGATATTCATAAATCTCAGAGACTATAAAAGCTAGAGTAACCAAATTTAATATCCGCACTTCTGTTAGATCTCACTATAAAACGTATATCTCAAAATTTCGCCCCACCCCCTTCCGCCTACACAAAGGACGAAAATCTGTTGCATCCACAATATTGCAGATTCGAGAAAACTAAAAACGCAGAATCATAGAGAATGACCATATCTATCCGGTTGCTGAATCTGGATCAGATCGGATAATTTTTGTAGCCAAAAGCAAGAAATCAATTGGCAGTGGCTACGCAGCGCCCGACGTCACGCTCAGACTGATTTTCTGTCTCTCTCGCACGCACTCTTTGTCGTGTCGTTTAATATTAGCGCCGTCTGCCGGAGGAGAGCCATACTGACTTAGTATCGGGTATAACTGTAGAGTTGCGGTGTCCGCAGCAACTCACAACGTTCCCCCTCGTTTTTTTTCCAAATTGTATATTGTTTTAAAAGTAGAAAAAAGTCAATTAAAAAGTTAACAATAAATATATAGCTTTAGTGGGTGAAATCATTGCCGGTCTACTGTGCAATCATACCCAACGTAAACGCGAGTGCACCATCAATATGGGCAAGCTGTTTGAGTATCCGCAGCCCTACCAGTGCCATGCCAGATTCAGGTGTCGCCTCCAGAGACAGAAGTTCACCAGTTGGCAGTTGTACTTTTGGAAACTTTCCTAAACGAATCCCACGGCGGGCTTATTGGGACTTTAGCGCCACGAGGCGGACACGAAGGACACGTGGTTGGATGCATTTTTGAAGTTAATTTTCCTGGGATCATTCCACGCTGATCGACTCCGCCCCAGCTTAGGCAAATGTCGGAGAGCTTTCAACTCTTTTCCGGTGGGCCAGCTAAAGCCCTTCATGGTCGTCGTCTTCGAGCCGATGTGCAGTGCAGACTATTTCTCGGATACCGGCAACATTCCTGGGTCCTCGGCCACCCAAACCACCGATGTCATGGCTCTCCACATGTCCTCAGAGAAGCTGCTTCCACCACTACTGCTAACTATCGAGTCAGCTATCCAGAAATCGAACCTCCTGAGCCGTTGCGGCCATGCCTTCATGTGCATGGCCGTCATCCCCAAGGGTTGCGCGGGAGCCATCAAAAGGAAATATCTTTAGAAAAAGCTGAGCGTCATCATCAAGAAGAGCATTGTCGTTTAGGATCCTGCCGTGCCTAACATGTCATGACTTGGCAAGCCCTCTGCCCTGTGCCCTGTGCCCTGTGCCATATTTTCTGTGTTGTGTCAAGCCCTATTATAACCAACAAACGGTCTAAACAGTCTAATGAACAGTCTGAAAAATAAATGAACAAATTAACAAATGAAAAAATTAAATATACTCGTGCTGATATATTCATCTATACGTATAATCACTCAAAACAATCAGCAACAGTCATTGCTCTTAGAATGCTTCAGAACATAAACAAGGCACATGACTAAGCAACGCTAACTAAAGATGACTAATCAAAGCTGATGTCTATTCTCTAGAGTCTAAAGTCACATTCCATGATTCCAATAAATGCTTTTAAAAAAATACCATTCACGAAAATAGTGTATGTTTCAAAAGAGCTGCTAGTAAGCACACCGTAGTTGCTTAAGAAAATCATACTTCCGATCTTGTCACTCGAAAATCTTGAATCGAAACGTACAAAGTTTACATATTTTAATTTTTGGTCATCAGCTTTATCTGTGTAATACATAAATCGCCAGATATCCTTATGAATTATATAAAACTTTATGTAGGCGCTTTAAGATTACCATAATATCATTAATAACACTAAGCTCAAAATTCTTACGCGTATGAGTACAAATCGGACTAATAGTGGATCCAATATCTCATATTTAACGGACGCCTTAATTTAATAACTATTGCCGAGGAAATCGGATACCATCGTATTTCTATCGATTTTCAAGATAATGGATAGGGGTCCATAGAAAATCTACTGACAAGTTTATTTGTTCATCATTCGTATCATCTGGGATCCACAATTCATAGAAAATTTTTAGATTAGATATGTAGCTATCTAAGCATTCCATTCCATTCATAACTGCAGTCTAAAACTCCCTCTGATGTTTCTCTCTTTCAGATTGGCTATGCCTACATTGCGTACCACCAGCAGGTGCTGACGAAGAGCTACTTCCAGAAGATCAAGTTCAATTCCGTGGACCGCATCTTCCGTATACTGAACCACGACGATAAGGAGGTGATATCGGGGCAGCTGGGTGTGACTCTGAGCAGCGATTCGGCACCGTTTCACTGCCTGGAGGAACAGCGGCGCTCAGACGGTAGCGTCTGCATCGAGTGGAACGGCGTGGCGCGGCTCCATATGAACTTCGAGGACAAAGGCGTCTTTCGGTGCTACACGCTGCAGTGGCAGGCGCTGACGCCCGGCCTTCTGCCCACCGACTGCTACGAACTGAAGCGGGACAACGGCCTGTGGTTTGGCGGAGGCATCACTAAGGGCCAGGAGTGGTCCCTAAGCTACGCCAACTTTGATTTCATGCCCTACGCCAGCGGGGACAGCAAGGTGCACCAGTTCGGGAACGGGGTGAAGCGCTACTTCATTAACTCCATCGGTGTGGCCATGCAGGTGAGCGAACGGACGCCGCTACAGCTGGGCATCAACCGGACGGAGAACCAGTTCTGCCTGCGGGCGGCCAACGATGACTTTACGTTCGTCAATCGGCTGACGGCGCTGCCGCAGCTGGACTACAAGATCTGCACAACGGAGGATATGCGCAGCCTGCACATGCTGATGACGCAACAGAGCCTGTGGGACGGGCTGAAGGAGCAGGACATCCAGGTGCTGCACTCGCTGCTGGAGGAGCCCGTCTGGCGCATACCCAACCAGGACCTGCCCGACTCCCTCAACGAAACAGTCATCTGCGACTACTCGGAAAGTGCCATTGCGATGGGCTTGGGCCATATCGTTATCAACGAGTTCTGGCAGGAGAATATCGGAGACTTTAGCGTGGATCGAGCGCGCTTCCCGACTCTGAAGGACACCATCGATGTGCTCCATCGGCGTGGCTTTAAGGTGGTCTTCACCATTCAGCCGTTTATCAGTACGGACAGCGTAAACTTCAAGGACGCGGTGCGCCGCAAGCTGCTCATCTACGAGCGCCACTCGGAGCGCAGCATACCGGCCCTCACCCGCTACAAGAGCTGCTCCAGCGCCGGCGTTCTGGACATTACCAACAACGCCTCCGTGCCTTGGCTGCTCGAGAAGCTGCAGCGCCTCAAGGAGGAGTATGGCGTGAAGAGCTTCTACCTGGACCTGGGCACTGGCTACAACCTGCCCCACTACTACCAGTGTCGCCAACCGCTCGACAACCCGGACATGTACGCCCGCATGCTGACCGCCAGCCTGGAGGGCGAGGGCCTGATGGCCGTCTCTACGGCCAGCGTGGTGCCCAAGCCGCCCATCTTCCTCAGCACTCCGCCGGCCAATGCCACCTGGGAGGGACTCCGAGAGACCCTGGCCGCCGTCCTCAACTACGGCGTCATTGGTTATCCGTTTGTCCTGCCGGGAGCTATTGGCGGGGACTACCTGCTGGAGCGATCGCTGACCAAAATGGTTACGTTCTATTCGCTCGGCCAGCCGCCGCTCCCTGACCCGGAACTCTTTATTCGCTGGCTGCAGCTAGCTACCTTTTTGCCGGCCATGCAGTTTAGCCATTTGCCCAGTGAGTACCGCAGCGACCTTGTCACACGCGTCGCCCAGGAGATGAAGGAGGTGCGCCAGACGGTGGTGATTGCGCTGCTCAAAAAGTACCTCAGTCCGTCGATGAACGAGGGCCTACCACTGGTGCGGCCCCTCTGGATGATGGATCCCCACGATCCCGCCTGCCTCATTGTGAGCGATGAGTTTTCTGTCGGCGAGGAGCTGATTGTGGCCCCCATCCTAGACGCGGGACGTGAGGAGCGCGAGGGTGAGTCAGTCATCACCCCAGATCCCGCCCTTATTAACCCTATTTTATTCTCGTATTTTTTCTTTAGTGTACCTGCCGCAGGGCGTGTGGAAGGATGGCATCGATGGATCGCTGCGAAAGGGCAGTCGCTGGATGCACGGCTATCGCGTGCCCAAGGACAAGATCGCCTACTTCCGCAAGATGCCTGACAACACGCGCTTTTAGCGGGCCGTTTAGTAATCCCTTTTCCATGTGATATGAACCGAGAGAGCTCTGGCAATTCCCGCATATGTCTATATCGATAACTTATTATAGGTCTATAGAGCATTAAGAATTACTCCTAAATTATATTTTATTTGCTTTTTTTGTGTGTGCGTGTATCATAAGTTAAGTACATCTTTATATGTCCGACGCCCGCGATACCCGAGGCAGCAATCGATCGCCACTCTATCGATATTTGTATCGTTGATCGAGACACTCCCTTGATAGACGCTTGCGCGTAGAGAAAGAACATATATAATAGTCGATTTCTACCGACCATCGAAATGCTTACTCGCTAAATAAATATGTTGTATTTTTACTCGTAATCGTACTCGTAATGTTCCCGTTTCGGTCTATTAGATAGCAATAAATATCCTTCAATCCTTCGATCACTCCCGGGGATTGGGTCGGCACTCGGGCAGCGATGCCCCGCAGGGCTCCGTTTCCGGGGGACGTATCAGGAGGCCGCACTGGTTATCGGCCACGACCACATCATGCTGGTCCAGGCACACGATCGAGCGACGCCGCTGTGGCATTGGGGCACCCGGCTGTTGGCAGGTGAGCGGACAGAACTGCCAGGGACCCGGCCACCAGTGGGCAGGACACTGCTGCTCTGAACAGGAGCGTGTCTGGCGGAGCGGCCGCTTGTTCTTCGCATGCGTCCAGCACGGCAACTTGTCGATAAGCACTGAAATTCATGGAGAATTGAATCAAGAAACGCTTTTAAAGAGTGCAAGAGGAGGAAGTGGGGTTTACCCTTGCCATTATCGTGGCAAATTGGTTCCCGATGCTGGACACCTCCACCGCAGCTGGCCGAGCATACGGTCCAGTTGCTCAGGCGCCAAAGATATTGTCGTCCAGCGCTAGCATTAAACGGGGGCAGCGTGAACTCATAGTAGATGCCTGCATTGCTTTCGTTGCCGCGAACGATCGCCTGTGGATTGGGGAGGATAAAAATCCTTCTGTCTCTTTGGATTGATTTCACTTACGTAAACCGATATGGAATGCTGTATGGGCTGAGGTATTTTAATGGTCTCCTGCTCGTCTATGCGATCGTAGAGGCTCTCGGCGCCGGCGATCTCGAATTCGCCGGGCATGGAGATCAGGCTGTCGCCATTCAGGTAGAACTTGTCTGGACTCTGGGACATGCCGATGGCAAGGAAGTGGGGTGAGTTGGCCTGCTCCCTGATGAGAATGTGGCGGGCGCGTGACGGTATGCTGACAATCTCTACGTAGGCACCATCTTTGGCGCTAAACGGCTCCTCGTATGTGTCCCTCACTGGTTTGCACTGATCGCCACCACCGCCGCAGACACCGCAACGATCGTCCTGCATGTCCGAGTCAACGATCCAATCGCAACCAACTTTCTGGATGAAATGCTCGTTTAATTGATCGGGGTTTGAAGCAGGGTTTGCGAAGTAGCGCGACATACGAATAAGGACCGCTCGATCCCGCTCGGGGATCGATCGTCGCCTACCTTACCTTGCAGATGCCGTCGATGCACATGTTGTTGGTCCCCAGTGTGCAGGGCGTTCCGTCCAGCACCGTCTCACCCCAGTTGGCGATGATCGTGTCGTCCACATCGCTGCAGAACAGTCGACAGGGGTTGTCTGCAAAGAGATCAAGCGATTATCAATCGATCTTGGTGGGGATTCCCACTTCCATTCCTATCTTACTTTTGTCGAAGAAGGGCAGCCACTTGTACGTCGCCCCCTGGTAGCTAACGTTGTCGTAGCGCGCGCACTGCTGGGCCCGGAAGCTCGGCTCCTGCTCTGGACAGAGCCGCTTGCGACAGATCTTGTACCGTTTACGCTCCCCAATACAGAATACGCCACCGTTGGCCGGCACCGGGGAGTCGCATTCCCGTTGCTGCGTGGAAACGCCACCCCCGCAGCTGCGCGAGCACTCGCTCCACTCGCTCCAGTTGCCCCAGCCTCCGTTGACGGCCGCCAGCTCCTCGCGGCGCACACACTTACCGTTCTGGCACCACTTGTTCCGTCCGCAGCTGGTACCAGGTGCCGTGGGCCGCATATTGGTCACGCACTCGCCGTTCACGCGGCACCACAGCGTCGAGCAGAACTCATGCGGGGCGGAGCAGGCGCCCACCTCGCTGTCGGTGGTCAGGTTGAACTGCATCCGACACTGGCCGCGTGCATTGTACCTCGCCCCGGGCAGTTCGCCCGTATAGTTGTACTCGTCCAGCGGCGTTGGCGGATCGTCGAGGCACTCGCCTAGGCCCTGGCTAAAAAAATAGTCCAAATATATGCACATTCAGAATCAGGATCAGGATCAGGATCGCCGGTATCTACTAGCTTCTACTTACTCGAGGAAATGCGTTATGTACTTGCGGCTGCAGTTTGACCAGCAAACCTGCAGCGTGTCTGCTCCAAAGGTAGGCGTCATGATATGGACAATGGGCCCCACCCGGGGATGGCAGCCGATCTTGGCCGTGTCATGGAACATGCCAAAGCTGGGAATGGAAAAAGAATAAAGGAAGAAGAAATTAAAAGTGAATCAACATCTGATAGCAGCAGCAGGATTCAAGAATCCAAAGAACGGAATTTAAGAGATGTATAAGATCTAAAAGATCTATAATCTAAGGAAATAGAAAAGTGTACCCTTAGTGTACACATATGTAGAGAAATGCTCGTAGGGAAACAAAATCAAATTCGGTTTGATCGCGTGAAGCTAATGGCTAATACAAAGTTGTAAGCACCTCCTCTTACTTCTCCTACAACCAGCCCCTGCGCCAATCAGTAGTCTAAAACCTGATTATTAGAAAAATAAATTTATCCAATCAAGGGAGACATACGGATACTACAGATATACGTGTATCCGAGCGAAGTGGCAGCAACAATGAAAACAAAACAAACCGTGAAAAACAAAACACCGGCCCGTGGCGACGTACCGCCTATTGTTCCACCTCATTGACGGGGATTCCTGCGGCCAACACTTACACAACTATCGATCCAATCCAGGGGTAAACCAAACAGATATCCAAATACCCTTTTTGGTGATTAGATACGGATATATGTACTTAGAAAATGTAGTTGGTACTTTTCTGTCATACTCAAAGAGTATAGGGGTAGTGGATTTATGCAACACTTAGAAAAAATCGTTTCCGAGCCCATAAAGTATAGTATATATTCTTGGTGAAGCGGAGGGGAGCCGCACTGACTGAGTACCGCGTATGAAGTAGAGCCGCGGCCTTTGCTACGGCTCACAACGTTACCGCTCGATTTAGTTTTTTTTTCTTTGAAGGATTAGAAATGGATGCGTCAAATTCTTCCTACAGCAGCTATGACCTGGTGTTCACATTTTTACATATCTAGAATATACATATTATAAGAGATACAGATCATATCAATCCAGAAACCAGACGGTAGCAGAGAGGGTGCCGCCTCTGGAACTGGATGACGATTGAGCCGCGGGCGGCGGGTTATGCGACTGTTCCGACTTGTGTTCGGGTTGAGTCAATCGCGGACGGTGATCACGCTAGACTGACTGACGGGCACTTGGCTGCGCTTAAAAGGCGTTTTACAACAAATCCACTTGGCACGAACACCGTGCACACACCGAATCTGAATGAATGTGAATGCGAATGTGTGTGCTCAAACCAGATAAGCCCCAAACGAAACCGGACAGAGACACTGCTCCACCAACACATGACGAGAAGCTAAGCGACGCGATAGCGGTGCGACAGTAGTCTGTGGGGAATCACTGTGAATCACTTTGGGTACAACAATTCCATATTCAAAGTTCAACTGATTACGGAAAGTGGATAGGTGTCCTTCTGAGCGCCTAAGTTTTTATAACGGACTAAACGAAAATAGAGATAGAAACAAAAGATTTCAAAGTCTTGGTTCTCTAATATATCTGTTTTCTGGATGAGTTTCCATCTTGCTGTCATTGATATTTCAGATCTTTTTAAAAGCGTGGGGCTGCCGCTTTACGTAAGCCCTGGCTTTAAGGAGTCTATTTAAAGAATAAAAAATGGTATTAAAACCTCAATTCAAAGCCGCTCTGAGCAGTGACTGAGGGGTGATTGAAACAGTGATTGGTACCACTCATCCCTGGCTCTCTAAGCTACTCCGATGATTGCCCCCTGATTTGTGTCTCTGTCGCTGGCTTTGCGCCTCGAGACTAATTAAGTTTGAATTGGGAAAGAAACAGGGGGAACACTGCTGCTGACTGGCACTGGTAAACTGTGGGCGTGAGCAACGCAGGCGATCATTGTCACAACACGCACGCAGGTGTCAAAGCATCCGCCGTGTTCACTTAGTTTTTGCTGCTGGCATTCGATACCTTTTCAAAGGGTATGAAAGATAGCTGACACTTACTTCATCAGAATAAGCGGAAGACGGGATGAGCCCTATATTTGTCTGAGAGTAGGCTCTTCCTGGACATATTTGAGTGAAAACCAGAAAGAATATGATTTGTGTATCATATAGAATTCTCTAAGCGATATGTTTTTAGCTCAAAATTCTAATCAAATTCTATTTTATAATAATAATCCAATGCTAAATCTTGAGCTCTTGAAAGGGTATCGGCAGTTTCGACTGCATCGCATTGGCCGTTCTTTCTGGCTGCGTTTCCGTTTTGGGTGCGGGGCTGTTGCTGCTGCCTGGCTTAAATTCATTCTTTAAAGGAAATGGGCTGGCCATAAGGCTGAAGGCCTGGGGGTCGATGCGTTGGCCGCTGGATCCGTTGCGCCATTGGCCAATGTCTGGTGCCGCAGGTGGCACCGGTCATGCCGACGACTACCGATCTGGTCTGTCTGCTGTCGTGAGGGGTCGGTCGTCACGGGGGACTTACTTGTGCCCTAGTTCGTGGGTGATCGTGTGGGCCAGCATGATGCCATTGTCCTCATTGACGCTGCACGACTGCTTTGGCTTGCACATCCCTCCAACGTTAGCCAGGCCTAGGGTCCTGCGAGGAGAATGAAACGCATGGATCACTCACTGGATGTGGATCTGTTCATCTGTGTGCAGCACTTACATGCAGTTGTTGGCGCAAATGTTCTTCCTCGTAATCAGAATGGCGACATCGTGATGGTGCGGATCCTTTTCGCTTCCTTTGTTCAGCTTGTGCTGCCAGCTGTAGAGCGAAAAAGGATACAGAATTAAAGTATTCCCCAAATGAGTCTAAAACAAACGATTACCTGCAAAAGCGATCGAGATTCTTCTGAGCATTATGTGTGAGATTTAGCTGCTGTTCGGACTCTTCCTCGTCCAGCCGTATGATGCGCACGACAACAATCTCAATGGAGTTGCCAATACTGGGATCTTTGTACAGCGCCGATACCATGTTCATGATCGTCAGCAGA